AGGTAGGTAGGTATTTCTTGGGAAAGGATGGAGGTTGGATGGTTGGATTGATGGGTAGATGGGTAGATACTAGGTAGATGGGTAGATGGATAGATAGATGGATAGATGAATACACAACATCTACCTATGTATGTACTGCCTGATATGGATTACATCCTGTGCAGATAGGAAACAACAGTTGGGAGAGCGTCATAAACATGCCATTTCATATACGTACAATGAACAGTTGTGCTCTGGGAGAAAACCGGGAAATGGTGATGCTTTGCACCCCACACTCACACATCTTTCGCACACACTCGAGGACATACATACTTTTTCCTACGATAGTGCGATGTATAAAGTATTGGGTTTGCTTTGCATGTGTGTAGCTCGTTATAGTGGGGTGCGGGGAGTTTAATTGGTGCAGACTGTTTTTGTGGACGTGGTTAGCTTGGGAGAGAGAGGCCCTTGTTGTTACTCAGGCTCGTGGTAGGCTCAGGTCGGTAGGCTCGAGGTTGGGTGGGATCGTATGTTTTTCTCTCGATGGATGGAAATGTCCGGGAAGATATCCAGAAGAAGCTATGGTGGGGGAGGGAATGGGTTATGGTTACGATATACGTAGTGGGGAGGATATCCAGGAAGGAGCTACTCGTGAAATGGGGATATTTATATCAATGAGCTTCTTTCCGAATATATACGAGAACTGCCCACCTGTCTGTCTGTCGTTTCTTCTGCTTGTTGGATTGTCTATCTGTTGGTTATAACATCACACAACTTATATAACTTACACCACGAATCTTCTCTATTCATCAGAGAAGATTGGTTTGGGATAATATCTCTTACTTTACTTGCATACATACCAGCCAGGTACATACATAGTACATTAATTCGAATCACCTGTCACTCCAAGCACACTCGCATCCCCCGCAATTAGAATTACCTGAGCTGGACCCGATCGGTGGTTAACCCCGCATCAACATCAACGAACGAGCATTCACCACATACATTCACATACAGACATACATACATACATAGCCGATCGCCTGAGCAGATAGTTTTTATTCAACTTCTCCATCAAGTTCTTGCAAATTTTTCTTTCTCATCTCTTGCTCGTCAATAACTCGGCACATCTGCGTATTGAAAAGCGTCACGAAGACTGCACAGGTTGAGATTCAAGATGGCAACTTCAACTAGAGAAAGACGTCCCTCTACAGGTGCTCCGATTAGTGAGCTCCAAGGTCCTGTTGGTCCTGCTGGCGTTACAAGACCTAAACATAAGCGTACCTTTACCGGTTTTGGTGCCGGGGAAATCAAAAGTGTAGAAGGTATGATATATTTCTTTGGTTCTGCTGATATCTTTCTCGTTTCGATGACGTATTGAAATTCACGCTAATTATTTGCTCTCTCTGTACAGCATCGATTCCTGAACCTCAACGAGAAGCATGGAAGAAATATACTGCTAAAGGATTTGAGACCAAGGAGGACTTTGAGAAGGAAGTTGTTCGTCATGTTGAAACTACCTTGGCTCGTAGTATGTTCAACTGTGATGAAACTGCTGCATATGCCGCGGCCAGTTTGGCTTTCAGAGATAAATTGATTACGGCGTGGAATCGTACTCAGCAGAGACAAACTTTTGCCGATGGCAAACGTGTGTACTACTTGAGTTTGGAGTTTTTGATGGGGAGAGCGCTCGACAATGCTATGTTGAATGTTGGGTTGAAGAATGTTGCTAAAGGTATGTTGGATCACTTGTGAGGATGTTCCAGAAGTGTAATTTCTGACTTTTTCTTCAGAGGGTCTTTCGGATCTTGGTTTCAGAATCGAAGATATCATCAACCAAGAGCATGATGCTGCCCTTGGTAATGGTGGTCTTGGTCGATTGGCAGCTTGTTTCCTGGATTCCCTTGCTTCCTTGAGCTATCCAGCATGGGGTTATGGTTTGAGATATAGATATGGTATCTTCAAGCAAGAAATTGTAGATGGATATCAAGTCGAAGTCCCAGATTACTGGCTTGACTTCAATCCTTGGGAATTCCCAAGACATGATATTGTTGTTGATGTAAGTTTGCCTTTGCCCAGAAGTTATTTCGTGTAGAGCTAATGGTTTTCAGATCCAATTTTTATGGCCATGTCAGAAAGTATCAAGATGAACAGGGAGTATCGAAGACTGTATGGGAAGGTGGAGAAATTGTCAAGGCGGTAGCCTACGATGTTCCAATCCCAGGTTATGATACACCCGCCACCAATAACTTACGTCTTTGGTCTAGCAAGGCTGCTAGCGGTGAATTCGACTTCCAGAAGTTCAACAGTGGTGACTATGAAAGTTCAGTGGCCGATCAACAACGTGCCGAGACTATCAGTGCTGTTTTATACCCTAACGATAATCTCGAACGTGGAAAGGAGCTTCGCTTGAAGCAACAGTACTTCTGGGTCGCTGCATCATTATATGACATTGTTCGTCGATTCAAGAAGTCTAAGCGTGCTTGGAAGGAATTCCCAGAACAAGTTGCCATTCAGTTGAATGACACTCATCCAACTCTTGCTGTTGTTGAACTTCAACGTGTTCTTGTTGATCTTGAAGGTCTTGAGTGGGATGAAGCATGGGGAATTGTCACGAAAACTTTTGGTTACACAAATCACACTGTTCTTCCTGAAGCTCTCGAAAAGTGGTCCGTTCCTCTTTTCCAGAACTTACTCCCCAGACATCTTCAAATTATTTACGAAATCAACTTGTTTTTCTTACAAACCGTGGAACGTAAGTTCCCTGGTGAGAGAGATCTCCTCGGCCGGGTCTCGATTATCGAAGAATCTCAACCAAAGATGGTTCGCATGGCATTCTTGGCCATCGTTGGCTCTCACAAGGTTAACGGTGTGGCTGAACTTCACTCTGATTTAATCAAGACCACTATTTTCAAGGATTTTGTCAAGATCTTTTGGCCTGACAAGTTCACCAATGTCACCAATGGTATCACACCTAGAAGATGGCTTCACCAAGCCAACCCTAGATTGTCTGAGTTGATTGCCAGCAAGCTTGGTGGTTATGAGTTCCTCAAGGATCTTACTCTTTTGAGCAAGCTTGAAGCATTCGCTGATGATAAGACTTTCAAGAAAGAGTGGCAGGAAATCAAGTATGCGAACAAAGTTCGCTTGGCGAAGCACATCAAGACAACTACTGATGTTACTGTCAACCCAGCTGCCTTGTTTGATATTCAAGTCAAGCGTATACATGAGTATAAGCGTCAACAGATGAACATCTTTGGTGTCATTCACAGATACTTGACTATCAAAGCTATGAGTCCAGAAGAGCGCAAAAAGTTGGCACCTCGTGTTTCGATCTTTGGTGGAAAAGCTGCTCCTGGCTACTGGATGGCAAAGACTATTATTCATCTTATCAACAACGTTGGTTCTGTTGTCAATAATGACAAAGACGTTGGAGATCTCCTGAAGGTTATTTTCTTAGAAGATTACAATGTATCCAAGGCCGAGATGATTTGCCCGGCAAGTGATATCAGCGAACACATTTCGACGGCAGGTACAGAAGCCAGTGGAACCTCAAACATGAAGTTTGTGTTGAACGGTGGATTGATTATTGGTACCTGCGATGGTGCTAATGTAAGTTTATCCCTTATTGTATTTATCGCGCATCTCACTAATCAAACTTCAGATTGAAATTACTCGTGAGATTGGAGAGAACAACATTTTCCTCTTTGGTAACTTAGCTGAAGATGTTGATGACCTTCGCCATGCTCACACTTACGGCTCTACTCAACTTGACCCTGACCTTCAGAAAGTCTTTGAGGCTATTCAAAAGGGTACGTTTGGGGATGCTAATGCATTCGGTGCTCTCGTTGGTGCTATTAAAGATCATGGTGATTACTATCTCGTTTCCGATGATTTCAACAGCTACAACCAAACTCAAGCTTTGGTGGATGAAGCATATAAGAATCAAGATGAGTGGACTACAAAGACTATTACTAGTGTGGCTAGAATGGGTTTCTTCAGTAGTGATAGATGTATCAATGAGTATGCTGAGTCGATTTGGAATATTGAACCATTGGCTGCGAAGAAGGGGGAAGAGGCGTAAGTAGAAATGATATAAGGGCGTTAAGGATGATGGACGATGGAGAATATGCCTGTATGGCTGTTCAGGTAGATATGCTTTGGGGGAAAAAAGATGGTTATGATGATAATGATGATGGGGGAAAAAATAAGTTTACGAAATAATGTGCTACGATGCGATACTTTAAGTCGTGACTAGTTTCGATTGATGAACGGCATTCCTAACTACCTATTACCTACTTCCTATTCAACTGAAAGCTCGTGTCTCCCTTTCTTAAGTGAGTAAACACAAAATAGTGATGTTTTGCTCAAAACTATTGTACACCTGTGAGTTGTCCGTGTGTCTAGCAATTAGCTTCATGATCTCGTGAATGAAAGTGCTGCGAGGTTAGATGTGTGGAAGAACTTCACTGTATACCAAGCGTTGATATTTGGATAGCTTGTTATTGGAGCCAAGTCAACCTGTTTGAGTCAAGAACTTATAAGAAAAGGTCACATTCGATCTCATCGGAGTATTGAATAGTTGCGCAACACCAATCGAGAAGTCTCGTGACGCTTACCCCTCATTTCGTGGCTATCCCCCGCACCTTCCCGTCTGTACTAGGTAGGTAGGTAGGATAGGTAGGTAGGTATGCAAGACACGTAACGTCCACGGGTAGTAGGTGCACGAAGCTAGTCGCTCTTGTTGATTGGTTGATTGGTTGAGGATGTGAGAGATTGTTTATCTAGGAACTAGGAAGGTAGGTTTATCTGGTCAATTTGTTTGTATGTATGTAATTACTTCTTACATTTTACTTTCATTTCACTGTTTGCTTTTCACTATTTGCTTTGGTTGAGAGTGAGAGTGAGAGGTTGTTGTTAAATTTTCTAATCAAGAGGGTAAATCGGTCTGTCGCTCATCAATATATTATTCCTCTACTCCTTTTTAACCTGTCGAAAGAAGAAGAAGAAGAATAAACAAAATGACCGAACCCCCCATCCTCGGTACCCGCCTCCAAACAAATGTCGCGATTGTCACGGGCGGCGGCTCGGGCTTCGGCGCAGGCATCGCGCGCCGCTTCGCGGAAGAAGGTTGTAAAGTGGTGATTGCGGATATCGATGCGGTGGGTGGCGAGCGCGTGGCGAGTGCGTGGCCCCAGAGTATGGTGTTTGTGAAGATGGATGTGACGAGGGAGGCGGAGTGGGAGGGGTTGTGTAGAGGGGCGGTGGAGGAGGTGGGGGAGAGTGGATGTTTGTGTTAATAATGCGGGGGGGAGTTATAGGAATAAGGTATGTGGATGTGGATGGGGATGGGGAGGGAATGAAGGAGGGGTGGAGAGATGAGTATGTGGAATTTGAGAAACTGACTCTGTGTTTTGGGAATCTAGCCAACGTTGGATGTCACCGAAGATGAATTTGATAGGGTTTTCAACCTGAATGTTAAATCTATCTTCTTTGCGACGAAACATTTTATTCCACATGTTGTTAATCACGGGGAGGGTGGATCGATGATCAATATCGCGTCGATTGGGGCGACGAGACCTCGTCCGGGTCTGGTTTGGTATAATGCTAGTAAGGGTGCTGTTGTTAATGTGAGTGTTTCTTTTATTCCGTGACTGGGGTTGTTTCTGCTAATATAGTGTTTTGATATAGGCTACGAAAGGACTCGCGGCAGAATATGGATCTAAAAATGTCCGAGTCAATTCTATTTGTCCTCTTCTTGCTGGTACAGGGCTGTATGTATCCCATCATATCTCATCTCACTTCATCTCATCATGGCTTGAAAAATCTATTAAATACAAGACTAACATGAAGTAGTTTCTCGACATTTACGGGTGTAGAGGATACGCCGGAGAATCGTGACAAGTTTCTCTTTAATGTGCCGTTGGGACGACTGTGTACGCCGGAGGATGTGGCGAATTATTGTTTGTTTTTGGCGAGTGATGAGGCGAGGTTTATTACTGGGACTTGTTTGGAGGTTGATGGAGGGAGGGGAATTTCTTGAGGGGAGAGGGGAGATGGGAGAGAGGGTGTGTTTTTGGAAGGGAGAGAGGATCGATGGAATTGGATGGGGGATGGGAATGGAATCAGATATCATAGCTGATATTGATATCAGTTCTATGCTCTCAATGAAAACTACGAAGAAATCAAAATCCGACCTCGAACGATGATTATGATTTCTAGTTTCTTGTGAAGCAGCTTGATCATATTGTCAACGATAAACGATAATAAGTAATATAGGAATTTTCTCTACAAAACCACATTACCTCCATAATCCCTCATAAGCTATAACTGATTCAGATATCACATCCCCATGATCACATAAATGTCACTTCATCATCTCTAGATCCGAGTACCTAGGTACTTTCAAATTATTGATCATATTTCTGTTTTTTGTTTTTTTTCTTTCTTTTTTCAGCTGAAAGTACAAGAAGTTTGTTAAACCCCTTATTTATGTATGTATATACATATGTAAGTAAGCTCGAGATAAGGCTAAGTATGTAAATAATATGTAAATAATACAAAGATCATCACACGCCTATCTGTCAACAAACGCCCGCAGCGCAAATCCTTTCCGAAAAGGAGGGCTGCTGTGATGTTGATGTGTCAGGTGTGGGTTGGGGTTCAGCTGGCTTGGTGTTGGTCTGGTTAGCTAGCTAGCTATCTAGCTAGGTATGTGTTTGGTTTGATAGAGAGTGTTTGATAGAGATTGTTTGACAAAGAAAGAAACTTGGGAGTTGGGTGGAGGGAATGTAGGTGGAGAAGATGGAAGATGGAAGATGTGAGATGTGAGATGTGAGATGTGAGATGTGAGATGTGAGATGTGAGATGTGAGATGTGAGATGTGAGATGTGAGATGTGAGATGTGAGATGTGAGATAAGCGAGGAGGGGTAGGGTGGGCTGTGGAATGAATGGATGGATAGATGGATAATGGATGGATAATGGATAATGGACCCCGCATTTCTTTTCTTTTCATTTCATTTCTTTCCTTTTGTTTCTTTCTCTCTTTTCTTCTTTCTTTACGGAGTAAGAGAAGAGGGGCTGAGAGAGGAGGGGAAGATGGGGCATGGGCTTGATTGAATTGGGATTGGCATGTGCATATGCATATGCATGTGCATCCGATGGGGGTTATTATTTAAGCTTATGTGTACTTAATTCTGCTTGTGGAATTTCTGTCTCGTCGGACAATCATCGTAACCTTACAGTCGTGCGATATTTGTGGTTTGTTTCGTGGGACTTTGTTCTACTTCTACTTCTACTTGCTACTTGGCGAAGTGAAGAAAATACCTATAGGAACCACAAGAAAGATACAGATCAAGATCAATCAAGATAAAGAAAACGAGTTCGAGTTCGAAGTCGAATAAAATAAAATAAGATTAAATAAAATATTTGAAGGGTGGAAGGATTATTATCTTATTTCGGATTTTCCGAGAGAAATTTTTGTGGTTGAGATAATCTTGAACTTTTGGAAGTGAAAATGAGATCGTTAGGGCCGTTGGTGGAAAGTTTGAAGGCGCAGTTGAGTTCTGATGCGAAGATTTTGATGAAGGGGGATGAGGGGTATGTGGAGGGGATTAGTAGGTGGTCGAGAGCGGCGGAGAGGGAGGCGGTGGGTTTATGTTTTTTTTTGGTTTTTTGGCTTTGTTTTTGGCTTCTGTTTTTTCTTCTTCTGTTTTGGGGAGAAAGGGAGAGGGTGAGGAAATGGTTGTTGCTCTAGGGGGTGAGGGAGAAGGGGGGGGGGGGGGGGGGGGGGCAAGAAAAGTGATGTTTTGGGGATTGGAGAATTGAGATTTCCATCAACGTTCCCCAAGGATGTTTTTTAATATATATCTATCTACCCTAATAGATTTTCAGTGTCTGTTATAATGTACTTGCTAACATCCTCTCTAGGCCCTAATCGTCTATCCTACCACCGCCGAGGACGTCTCCAAACTCGTTCTTTTCGTCAAAGAACAGAGGCTCGATTTCGCAGGTTCGTATTTCATTGATACATTGTCTAATCAAATTTTATGAACCCCTATAACTAACTCCCCATCACAGTCGCCGGCGGTGGACACGGCTCATCAGGCGCCTCATCGACCCAAAATGGCCTTTCTATTAACCTCTCCAAAATGCGCAACGTAGCCGTAGACCCCGTCAATAAATCAGCCCGCTGTCAAGGCGGCGCCCTCTGGTCCGACGTCGATACCGCCGCTTTCGCCCACGGCCTCGCTGCCGTCGGCGGCACTGTAAATCATACTGGCATCGGTGGACTCACCCTTGGAGGTGGCTTTGGTCATCTCACTCCCAAGCACGGATTAGTGATTGATAATCTCCTCGAAGCAGAAGTCGTTCTCGCCGATGGACGTATTGTAACATGTTCTGCAAATCAGGAACCCGATCTCTTCTGGGCAATCCGCGGTGCGGGTATTGGATTTGGCGTCACCACGAGTTTTACCTATCGATTGCATCCGCAACCCAACCGTGTCTGGGGCGGTATGCTAGTATTTCCCCGCGAGAAGTTAGAAGCCATCGTTTCATTCGCCAACACAATCGTCACGCTCGACGAAGAAAATGCTCTCCTGCTCCTCGCGTTTGCCTCTCCACCCCCAGCCTTCCAGCCCGCGGTCCTCGTCCCCGTCTTCTACAACGGCACCGAAGCCGAAGCTCACGCCTACTTCAAACCGCTCTTGGATCTCGAGCCACTCGCCAACACCACAAGAGAAATGGATTACGTAGAAGTAAACGGTATGCTCAACGAACCCATGGCTCACGGCCTCCGACGCAACTTGAAAGGCGCCGCGGTCATGTTCCCACTAACCTATGCCTTCGCCGCGGAAGTCTACACCGAGACGGAGAAATTCCTCCTCGAAACCCCGGATGCGAAACATACCATGGTGATTTTCGAATACATACCTTTTGGCAAGATATTACAGGTGGGACAGCAAGATACCGCGTACGCGAATCGAGGTGCGTATGGAAACTTGGTATTTGGAGCGAGTTGGGAAAGTCAGGAGACGGATACGAAGTGTAGAGAGTGGTGTAGGATGATGGCTCAAAAAACAAAGGCGGAGTTGGAGAGGAGGCTCAAGGACGGTACGGATGAGATTACCAAGGATGGAGTGGGTGCGTATGCGAATTATGATGGTGGTAAGTTTTCTCTTTTTTGTTTTGGTGCTTTGGGTTCTTCCCCTAAACATCGCTTGTGGGTTCTACGCGAACCTTACTTCCATTTTCGATATCTACCTACTTAGCAAAAGCCCCACTTGCATCTTTATCGCAGAAAGAAGCGACGTCGTTGGCTAATGAATTTGATAGCAAACCATGAAGCAGGCAGTTTGGTTTATGGCGTCAATTATCCACGTCTTGCCGAATTGAAGAAGAGATTTGACCCCGAGAATGTATTTTCCAAGGGTCCAAATCTTGTTTCCTAAATCACTGGATTGGACTTTGAGCATTGATGTTAATTATTTGATCAAATATCGTCCTCTCAGAATGAAATTCAAGGACTTTTTATACAAAAGGCTATACGAGAGATAAGAATTAGTGCACGCAATGATGAAACTTTTGATATATCAAATTCCGTCCTATGGAAAGGTAGGTAGGTAATGCTAGGACATAATAACTCGCGCCACTCCCCATAAAATCTCAGAACTGAATCACCCTTCTGATGTTTCCCGCTTGAAAAAACAGATGCAATATGAATACAATACAATGTTTATTAATAAGACCCTCGCGATAAAAACCAAAAGCAAACTATTCGTATCTAGAAATCGAACCGATCTGGTAGCACTACAGGTGCAATCAATGTCCATGTATAAATACCATAGCATACCCATGAACTGATGATTTTGACCCATGATGCCCAGTATGTTCTTCCCACAGGCGCAAAACTTGTATTTCCATCTGTGTATTCATCCATGTTCATGGTGAGAAGTGTAGCTACCCAAGTGGTCGCCAAGAAGAAAATTACATGGAATAATGCGTAAACTATATTGTGTGAGGTTCTCTCGTCATCTTTGGCGGTGTTTCCACTATCGCTTTCATCATCATCGTCTAGAAGAGCGTCTGCAGGAAGACTTCCCTCTTCTACGGCTTGTCGAAGAGCTGCTGCACGCATTTCACGTCGGCTATCTGGTTGTTGGGTAACTAGATCATGTTCATCATCTTCAGGCAATGCGATTCTCTTTCCTTTTCCTCCTAGAGCCACTCCTTGTGTAGCAGCTCTGGTTGTTGTATATGCAACTGTGAGCATAGTAACGATCGCACCAATAATAATAGAGGTTGTTCGGGTTCCTTGAGCTCGAATGAGAGGATTGCAATGCTTCGTATCAGGCTCCATAGATACTGCAGACATGGTGAGGTATGTACAGTAGATAGCAACCATAGCTGATTGCGCCAAACCTGCTCTTGGATTGAATTCTTGGACCATGGGGTGGACAGAGACGACAGAGACGATAACCAGGAAAATTAAGTTGAGAGTGATAGCGGTTTGGTTCATTGAGCATCCAGCACCAGCGAAGAAAATGTATTGTACGATGGTCATTGCCAAGGAACATGCATACATGCCCAATGTTGATCCGATCAAAATTCCTCTCCAAGCTCGAGAATCATATGCTTCGATCTGTTCGAGACAATATTCCGCCCAGGTATGTGCAAGATCAACCAACAGAATAAGTCCGAGAAGGAGGAATAGTGTCGATCCGGTGAATGCAATGTAATTTCCCCATACCAAGAAGAACCCATCTGGGATCAAGAACGAAAGTACGATCAATCCCAACCAGGCGATGATTTTAGGACCCCAAAATCCATTTTGTATTGCTGCACGTGGATTCTTCGAAGAATTTACGCCTAATAGCATCGATGCCATGATAAGGTGGAAAATTCCCAGTGCGAAATTAATCCGATGAACCGCAACCCATCCATAACATTCTCCTTCTGGACAACTGATCTTCATATAATCCAAAGTCAAGCCTTGTAGTTTGTTAATCGCCCATGGTGTTAGCATGATCCATGATAATATTGAATTGATTAAGAGGATGAGGGCGTATGCGATACGAGTGGCAACACTTTTCATCAGTCAGTCTTTGTTTATCAAACAAACGCCTCGAATATGAAGATATACCTGTTACCACATTTACCACAGGCACTGCATACAGCAGAGCATGTTGCCGCTCCACAGCAACTTGCAGCAAAACCCATCACCTAAGAAGATAAGTAATCTCTTCATGTCAAAGTCCAATAGGTAGAACTCACAGTACCCATGCTTGGCACAGCCAACAAAGGAATTGAAAGTAGAGCGCCCATTTTTGCGCTCTGCTATAATGTGATGTCGCAGTATTGAACTTGGCAATAAAATAATTCGAGACTCTATTGAATGTGGCTCATGAAAAATCTGTATCGTTAATAGTTGAGCATAAAAGTTGAAGGATAACGTTGGAAGTTGTTTTGGAGATGGCTCCTTATGATCTATGCGGCTGATGAAAGCAGTCTAGGCGACTGACCTGCATTAGTGCGGTGGTGGTTTGTAAGATCCACCGTAAATCAAACTGATAAGGAGACATTAGCGGAGTTGGTTTATCTGATAACGGACTTACGTGTGTGCAGACGACAGCAAGAGGATACTCTAATTTCTTTCAGACAATCACTCGTATTTTGCCCAGAAACACTTGGGAGAACACTTTTGTCTCTCATTATAAAACATATCATTTCCCATTTTTCGCCAGCGAATACCCCTTCTTTTGCTTTGCCTTTTGCAATGATTAAGACGTGAAACTATACAGGCCCCCCTTTGAGTAATCACGATAACGACGCGGTCATCGAACATGTCGGAAAAGCCATTACAAGCAGCGAGGATAGTGTCGAGTGTTGCAGCAACCTGTATTGCATTGGCATGTGGAACGAACTATGCTTTCTCCAATTGGGGCCCGCAGTTCGCTGATAGATTGAAGTTATCATCAACACAGATTAACTTGATAGTAAGATCACTTTGCGCCAAACTATCTGCTCTTGATATCATGCTAATTACTTGTAAACAGGGTCTATTTGGAAATCTGGGAATGTATGCATGTGGTATACCAATTGGGTTATTGGTAGATGGAAAGGGGCCTCGACCTGCCGTTCTATTGGGAACGATTTTGCTTGCCGCGGGATACTTTCCACTATATCAAGCATACGCTAAAGGGTCTGGATGGTTACCATTACTTTGTTTATATTCATTCTTTACCGGTCTTGGAGGGTGTGCTGCCAATGCAGCTGCTATTAAGACTTCGGCTCTTAACTGGCCACACAACAGAGGTACAGCGACAGCTTTCCCACTGGCCACTTTCGGACTCAGTGCATTTTTCTTTTCTGCATTTACTGCATTTACATTTCCAGGGGATGCGGGTCATTTCCTGTTAGTCCTGGCCTGTGGAACTAGTGGAACAGTATTCTTAGGATTCTTTTTCCTACGAGTGATACCACACGCCCATTACTCGGCTCTTCCCGGCCATAATCGATCCGATTCAAATCGACTACATCGCACAAAATCAGAGGACAGTAGACGAGCAGAGAGAGATGTCTTAGATGGTGAACCTGGTATGTTATATCCACCTCTTGCGTCTTCGGGCAAACATCATATCCTAAACCATCATGTGATAGAGGCAGAGGTACCCGAGAACGGCGTCAGGTCCGATACCGACGAAACCTCCTCCTTGATGTCCAAATCCACCGATGAAGAATCTCGAAAAAATGTAGACGAAACTGACAAGAAGGATCACGCGCATCGTGTAGATATTCGAGGACTTCAATTATTCAAAACAGTCGAATTTTGGCAATTGTTTGCTTTGATGGGGATACTCACAGGCATTGGATTGATGACTATCAAGTATGTTTCTCATTTTACTCGAACTCGAGCCTCAACTAAACTATCCTAGTAATATCGGAAATGATGCACAAGCTCTTTGGCGTCATTGGGATGATTCAATCCCAGAAGAGTTCATCATGCATCGTCAAGCAATGCATGTATCCATCCTTTCTGTTTGTTCATTCACTGGTCGTCTCCTTTCGGGTACGTAATTCTCTCTATTTTACAGCTTCTCTTTCACTAACGCTCAAGTAGGAGTTGGTTCAGACTTCCTCGTCAAGGTCCTACGTTGTAGTGGTCTATGGTGTCTAACTCTCGCCTCTCTGATCTTCTTCGTCGCTCAAATCGCCGCTCTTAATACTGAAAACCCACACCTCCTCTTCCTTGTCTCCTCATTCACTGGTCTCGGTTATGGGTTTCTTTTCGGTTGTTTCCCATCTCTCGTAGCTGAGGCTTTTGGTGTTCATGGCCTCTCCACAAACTGGGGTTTTATGACCCTCTCCCCAGTCCTCTCAGGATACATCTTTAATCTTTTCTATGGCACAGTTTATGATCATCATAGTATTGTAAAAGATGGAGGTGTGAGGGAATGTACCGAGGGCTTGCAATGTTATCGCAGCGCATATTTGGTTACAGTAACGGCGTCGGTGTTGGGCTTGTTGGTCAGTTTGTGGTGTATAAGGTATACCCATTTGGAGAGACTGGAGGAAGCGAGAAAACTTGAAGCAGACGAGAGAGTGGAGTAAAGATGCATAGCTGTGCATCTCACAATCAAAATCACCAATCTAAAAACGATAGGATAGTAGGAGATTCGATGAAAGACAAGGTTTGGCTCCTTGTCTGGTAGCTACAATGGAGGTACTGGTTGAGTCACGAAAGGGTGTTTTTGAATAGAATGGTCTTGGAAGGAATGGAATGGATAGACGGCGGACCGGCGGCTACTATAGAATGGTTTAGAGCTGGAAGGGCGAGGGTTATTTTCATTTCTTTCAAATTTATTCGTTCTGGCAGCATTAACGATTGGATTAATGTGAAGATGGAACGAAGAGGGGGGGTCTAATGCACGGGTGCATTTCCAAGCCCATATATCACACTTTCCATTTATGAAATTGGAATCAAGTGGTACTCAACATCTCATTCATTGAACAATCAAATTCCCTTCAAATACTATCCAACAAACTTCGAGATGGGATTAAGACGTAACCAAATTTGTGAGACCTGTATCGTTGACTACCTATGTAAAATGCGGATTCTCCAAGTTCACTTATATTCGGTATGTTTCTGTTTAAAAGAATATCGAACTTAGTAGATATTGTATACAGAAGTCTGTGATTACCGAGTTCTAGGTATAATACAGTGAGGCTCTGTATAGAAGTTACTGTGGCGGGGGTGATCGAGGATGTTCAGATATACTCATTTTCTTTTCGCCGTTAGCAGTAACCTAATGATTGAAACTATATGCAAGAGAATACTGTCATCATCGCGGATTTTCATTAATTAAATCAACCGTTTGCTTATGCTACATTTTCAAGTCATCAAGTGAAAGTAGGACGATATACCATTTCCTACCTCTCTGTTTATACTCATCTTCGCGCTCTCTCTTTTTACGTATTTTGGATCAGTTCAATAATCTGTGATATTCTTCCTCCTGTTCTTTGAACTTATGACGTATATCTTCTATCTAGGTATCTATCTGCTGATTTCAGAGGCTTTGGAGGCGCAAGAGGTAGTTAGGTATATAGAGGCTTGAGGCCCTGAAGCAGATGTGCAACGAAATATCTGAAGAGATATACCTAGTAATTAAGAAGTGATTGGTGATTAATAATTGGTAGGTCGTGAAGTAAATCTTGAGAGTGAATATAAGGAAGAGATGAAAGGTGAAGTATGAGAAAGATGATGGTCAACTACAAATCTTCGAACTGTGGTAGAATACTGAAAGCTGCTATTCTATTTTAACGCACACATATTCGGATCGGTGGGCAAATTTTCTCCTGCTTCATTGTGTGTATTTCAGATTTTTGATTCCTACAAGGAATGCAAGAAGAAGTTAGATGAAGCACAAGAAGAAAGGATTTTAGAGTACCAGCGGAGTTTCTATGGATAGTTTATTTGACTGGCAGAGGGGAATAATTTGTCGATGAAGATCACAAGACGTGGAATCGTTATGAGGAGCATAGTTTCAAATTCTGGAATTTTTCAAGATCCTTCAATCGATATTGTGAATAGTATACTAGATACTGTGATGGTGTTATAACGTTGAAGTGGCAATACTACTCACGTTCACATCACAGTAACGATCTTGAAAACATGTACCTCGTACTCTACGCTGTAGTCGAAACGACCGTGTTTTGAGATATCAAAGAGTTGTAAACGGCCGATCCAAAGACTTCTCCCAAAAAATATAATCGTGTTCAAACTTGGAGTATAAACTTACTCGAACGTCGAATTAGTATGACGCTATCTCACATGAGCAAAGTACTACGACGACCAGTGCACCTCCCGTTAAACTTTACTGGCTGCCAGATAAATAAAAAAGTTACTCCCGGTGAACTCTACAAATAACTTTCTAGCAAACCACAAAGTTTCAACTTTCAATCAAACGATTGAATTTTTACATGTTGCATACATCATCATCCATTGTATATCTCACACGCTTGCTCGTTTACTAGAACGAACTCTCAGCACCGCCAAGACGTTTAGGATACTGCAAGGACGCGAGTCTTCCAACAGCACAAGCTCATAAGCTTTAAAAATTAAAGCTTCCGTATAGGTCGCACAGCATCTTACGCGGCTCTTTCAGACCAGTAGTTGAGAGTAGTAGGTAGATCTTTTCGTGTTGGTATGTTGATGCATATACGGATGCCGTGAAATGGTATGGTGAATGAATGTATTGCACGCTGTGCTTTTCGATGTGTACCTAGGTAGGTATCATACATTGTGAAATGCAGCGTGGCAGTATGGCTAAACATGCCAACATAGCGAAATTTGGCATCCAACAGTTGCACTTGATATTGGAAAGAAATTTCTCCATCTTTGCGGAGGTTGTCGATATCTCTCCATATGATGCGATGTGTGATGCGATGTGATGACTGTGAAGCTAGCTACAGCACGATAGATTCGCAATGGCGTAAGAGCATTGCGTTCGTACTACGCATATATTTCTTGCGTTACCTAGTGTTTTCGTTCAAGGCGTGCAAGCCATATCCAGAACTAATCCCCGATCGAGCTCTCTATCTACTTGGCAACGTAGATAACGAACAATTTCTTGGTTCAACGGAATGTCAATGGCGCAGTAACAATATGTAGACTCGTATGTACTCGAAAGGTGTGCAAGCACGGCAAACCAAGAGTTAGAGACAAATGGAATCTATGTGAGGCGTGAGGCGTTTTTCACGGGCGAATCGTTTGTTATTGGCTGGACGGAATTAGATTCAAGGTACTATGCTACCTGTCTAGTACTGATTTTATTCCAGATGCATTGTAGCACAGGACAAACGAGTTGCGCTTTGTTGAGGTTGAATTGTATCCAATGCTGCAACGATGTCGACTATTTGTTAGCAGGCCTACTCAAACGTTAC